GCACTGTCTGACGCGTCTGCCTCCGCGACCCGAAAGGAGAAGCGGCGATGGAAGATGAAGATGAAGAAACGAAATGAAATGAAGACAACAATAGATCAAAAATCAAAGGTCTAATGCGTGGAACTTAGCAAAACTTTATGGAAACAGATAAAAGAATACGTAAGAGAATTCAACTGCGGATGAAATTGTGGTCATCCAAAGGTCATTAGAAAAACTTCAAAGAAGAATTCAAGACCTGAATGATACCAGCATAAATGCAGGACTGAAAAGGTACGTAAAGAGGGACTCAGCGACTTCATATTTACACTGTACGTTTTCGCAGTTAAAATCCGGGGAACATGAATTTTAAAATAAATTTACTTCATCTATTTTTTATTGCCTAGAAGTATGAAAAAATGGAAAAAAATAAGTACGCAAGACAATAGACCTATTTTGTTCAAACTTACGAAGATCGTTTCAAGATGAGAGATGATTCCTCATTAAAGTCACAAGAATCCTGCTTTTCAATATAAAATAAACCAACTGGAAGTTCGTATTAAAGAATGAATAAATGACGTAATTACGACCTACCTTCAACAGCAAGTCCAAAATGTCCATATCACCTGCTTCGACTACAAGATGGAGAGCGTGCATTCCATTCACTTCTACTAGTTGGTTAATATCCGCCTTCGCCTCGATGAAGTTTTCGACTAACGCCAACTTCTTCCGTTTGACTGCTAACGCAAGAGGATGATATCCTAAATGCAGCACAGTCAACAAAACTCTATGACATATCCAGCGTATCTGCATAAAACCCACTTTTAATCTAACGTCTTCAGTTTGCTGCATTAATACGCATTGGCAAAGAGCAAACGGGCACTAATGGGTAGCGGTTATAAGCAAACCATCATACTGACCCGAAGATTTGAACCTGGTAGGATGGATGTGACGACCTTAAACGAGGTCAGAAATATTTCTAAAACTTTCTCGCCTGAATACCGTCCACTCGCTATTCCAGGACAATTGAAAACTTGGAAATAACCTCGATGAGGCAGATATATTTGAGATGAGGTAAAAATGAATGACCCTAGCCTCAACTGAATATTGTTCAGTATTAACTGGTGACACTATCTCTAACAGTCATATATCGTAAATCTGAATCACTCTGTTTAAGCTGTTTTCCTACGTTATGATGGTACGGCAATTAGCCGCTGAGATGTTTGTCTCCATCACTTTCTGATGATTGAATACCATAAGCTATGTCCTTCGTTTCATGAAGCTCATGGTGCCGTGCTAACAGTTAGTTCCGTATCATCAGCCAGAAGTGATCAAAGTGAGTTGTAAAAGCGAAAAATCAACAACACTAAAAATAGCCTGCAATTTAGCCCATAAATGCTTTGTTGGCCATGTAACACATACGTAATGCTACGTAATTATCCCTGAAACTGATGCTTCATAAGCGTGCTGAGCCTACCTAATAGAAGAGAGCTGATTCGTATCACTTTTCCAGTTCATTGCACCCTAACGGATTAGTGATGTCTCACTTTAAACTTTGTACGGTTGGTAGAACCTAAGGCCATAACGTATATTCCTGAATTTCAAGCCATACTGCATATGCACAGGTTACTTTGATGCTTTTCAGAGGAGCGCTGTTAATAGGCCAAAATAGACATTATTTGGTTGAATTCTTTTCGATAGTATCAAAGAATTATTACACACTCAGCCACTTAGAGAAGAATCTTCCAGTTCTTCGAAAGCTTGCATTTTTAAATTCATTGTTTAAGTGAGTGTGATGTGTGCTTGTCGAAATTATTACAATGAGGCGTTTACGTAAGTAGAACGTCGCCTGCTTATGGTGTCTGCTGAATTATTAGCTTTTGAATACTTCTCCTATAAGGTATCGGTTATTGGACTGTAGATGAAACTATTCCTCTCCAAAAGCAAACCTGCGTCCATCTTGTTCCTCCAAGTTACATGCCTCCTGGTCGACGTCTGCCGCGCTTCAGAAGCTCAAGGGCTATAGGAAATGGTTTATGCTGCGCAGGTCCAACCTTCTTTCCTTAGTCTCCACATCTAAGGTCGCCTGAACGCAATTTAGCCCTTATTATGCGTCGAAGCTAACGAATACGCGGTTCAACCGTCGTTCTTGCTCCGTTGCTGGAACAGTTGCCTGCATGCCATACAGAAACACTGAACTTGAAGAGGCAAGGCGCAGGCAGATTTTTGTGCAGAGATACACTCCTTTCTCAGCCGAAGTATCGAAAGGTCTAAAAAAATACTTGAAGCTAGGGCAATCATTCTATTTAGTTCTGGCAAGGTAGTGCCATCGCTGGAGGTAGTGGAGCCAAGACATTTAAATTGGTTATCCCGTTGTAACGCTTCAACTTTCTGTTCCGCTAGTAAGTCAGCTGTACGGACGGATTCTAATAAATTTAGACTTCCTGTTATTAAAGCATACGCCAGCCATCGCAGCTGTGTCGCAGACGAAAATCGTCAGGTGACAGCGCCCGCTCACCTAACTACAAGTACAATATCCTCTGCGTACTCCAGGCTGGAAACACATCTAATTGAATACCTTTAACTGCGCGTTCCCTCCAGAATGAGACCTTCCTCATTGGCAGTGTCGACACTATTTCGAAGAATAAATTAGAGGACAATGTTGAATAGCAAAGGCGGAAGCAGTCTACCCGGAAAACTCCACATTTAATACGTTGAGACACAGACAACACTCCTTTGATTGTGGCAGAAGACATGGTTTTTGTATACATCTCTTTCGCACTGGAAATTATTCATGAGATATTCATCAGAATTGCATTCACTATCCGTTTTGCCGAATGTTGCACTGAACCAAATGCAGTCTTAAAGTCAAGCAAAGCAGAATTCTCTGTAGTTGCCAATGGCTGCGGTCAATTGCCCAGCTTAAATAATTACACAGTATATGCAGAAGAGAAAAATCGAGATAAAGAATAATTCTGAATTAATTAAAG